TGCACAAAGACAGTTTGAAAAACAGACCCTGACTAAAACTGATGTAAGCTATACAGGAAAAAAAAAGATGACATGTTTGTGATTAAAAAAAAAAACACTGAAAGGAAAAAAATAGATATTCTTATTCATTGGAGCATTCACATACAATTTTCGATGAACCAGAAAATTAACCCTCTTTCTTAGACACCATGCTGAAAAAAGTGAGGAACCAAATGGTTATAAACTATCCTACTCAAAAATGCTAATCTATTATCAAGTTGTTATTCCTCAAGTATATTAATATGCCATCTAAAAATCAGCCCTCTTGTCAGAAGCTATGATATATAATAACACCCAGTAGGTAAATATACCAGTATGAATTTATTATAAAACTTTCTATTTCTGTGAGTTATAAGTCACTTAAAAGGGGAAGGAGCTTATTAGGGAGTAATCCTGTGGTCTAGGAGATACTAGAATGTGCTCAGCCATTTAGCTACCACCCACCTCCTCTCTTTCCCCTTTCCTGGTAAATCTCCCTTTGAGCTAGTAAGGACAGGATCCCATATGCTGTGGGAATCACTCCAGTTGAAGCCCCTTTAGAACAACAGTAGCTAACACTGTCTAAGCATTTACTAATAGGATAAGCAAAACCATTTTTATAGCTCCCCTCAAAAAATCTTATGTGTTAAATTGACAAAATGAACAAAAACTTCACCAAACTAAGAACCTCATACAGACCCAACCCATGGGGAAGGGGGCTGTTCAATAACAATTGGTAAATGGATGAACAAATGAATTCTCCCCTCTTAAGTTCTATGCTACATACAGCAAATCTAGATGGGTTTCATTTATTTAGCTTAGGTTTTAGAGACACCGTTTCATAAATGCTTATCATTTTACAAGTGAATCTATAATCTAAACTGTCCTATTAAGACCATGTTGATTTCACCCTCTTTTCAGCCTCCTAGCTCCACTGCCTGAAAAATGAGTCAATTATTTGTGAAAACTCTTTCAAAACCCTAATAATCCTACTGGAAATGTAAATGTGATCAGTGGACAGGAATTACAAGGGAAGAATCTCTAAGGCCAGATTTTAACCACCATGTCAGCTCACTCTGGTACTATGGGAATGACTTTCTTTTGTGGATAAAATATGTGAAATCTGGGATTATAATTTTTAGGAAGATAAATTTTTACTCAATTTATTTTTGGGTTATTTGTTATATTGAGTTATTGGCTGTAAACTATCTCTTATTTGCCATTTCCATAATTTGCCATAATTAATATTAAGGATTCACTTATGGATTCATGTCTTCTATTCCCTCTAATGAACAGTTATTGGACAACAATTCTAGAACAGTCCCATTTCTCATTGGGTCAGACTTCTTGGGAGAGTGGAAGTAGAGAGGCACAGAAAAGGCAATCAGTAGAATGTCTGAGTCATCACTTTGGAATTAATTGAACATAAATAAAATTGGGAAAGAAAAGTAAAAAAGAAGGGAAAGGGCGGTAGGACCATGTATGGAAGAAGAGGGTCACTGTGGCCATGAGATTCACCCCGCAACGCTCTACAGGGTTGACACCGCCATCCACACGACGCAGTAGCAGCAGGAAAACTTGTAATTTAATTATTAGAGATAATGAATTTTAGCCCCTAAACATTTTCCCATTCAGTTCCTGTGGGTTTTTTGGGAGGTTTCTTTTGAGGGTTTTTTTGTTATTATTTTTTATTGTTTCAAAAATAGTCTTTTTTCTTTCAGAAGTAATTTTTCAAATCCAGTTCACGTAAGGGGATTTGATTAGTGCGGCAAGCTCCAAATACACTGCACTCCGTAATATTTACTGCGTGCCTACTATGTCTTAGCTTTGAGCAAGCTGCAAACACCCCCTCAAGTCTAGGACCCATTATTTTGCTTTTGGTAATTTTCACAAAGTTCTCTTCCTCCCCGAACACACGATTAAGTCCAACAGACCCTAAAACCCTTTATGAACCCGCAAGCTCCTCCCTTCTGAAGGCCTTTGAGTGAGCGGTCAGCAGGCCCGTTCATCTACTGCAGTTTGGCTTTGTGTTGGGGTTCTATTGACAGGGTTCCTACAAGGCAATTTCAGATGTGACTGCATCGTAGAGGTTCCTGAATTTTTCAACAGAGTCTGATTCAAAGGCAAATTAAGAGTTGTAGTAACAGTTTAAAAAAAAAAAAAATCCGACCTCAGGACCCGAAGGTGCAAACTCGAGGGGCAGGGGGCTCACCTACCTAACTCCATATCCACACTGTGTCTCCAGCAGGCTCGCCCACTCTGGGCCCTGGGATAGCGGAATAGCTGACGCGCTTGCGGGGTCCCCTGGCACTTGCGGGGTCCCCTGGCAATCAGGTATGTTGTGGCTCTTCACAACGCAGCAGCAACAATGTTGACTGGCAGCTTACTGTATGTCGGGGCCATGTAAGAGTTTTAGAGACAATGAACGTTTAATTCTCACACGACAACTCTGAAGCAGGTGCCACAGCTCCCATTTTATGAAGGAGGCGGCTGAGGTTCCCCGGGGCTCAGTACCGTGGGCCGAAGCACACACGGCGAACAGGGCCAGGAGGCGAGCACAGACCTGGTTCCACGGCCCGCGCTCTTAACCACCGCGCTGCCTCCCTGCAGTCAGTCAGTCTGTCCTCCCCGGGACAACCTGCGGGCTCTTAGGCACCGCAGTCTGGCCGTCTCGCTATGGGACCCGGGAGAACCTCCTGGTCGGGACGGCATCCCTGGTCCCCCGCGCAGGGCCGGGATGTGACGCGTCGGGGCGGGCGGGGCGCGCGGGGCGGGGCTCGGGTCGCCGGGGGCCGGGAGCGGGAGCCGAGGCGGGAAGCGGCCGCCGCCCGGGCAGGGGGGACTAGGCGAGGCGGGGCGGGGCCGGGCGCGACGGGAAGGGAGGCCGCGCCGGCCGGGAGCCGCACCGCGCCAGCCGGGCTGCAGCGGCCGCGCACCGAGCGCCGCAATGGGGCTGGAGACCGAGAAGGCGGACGTGCAGCTCTTCCTGGACGACGACTCCTACAGCCACCACGGCGACGTCGACTCCGCCGACCCCGAGAAGTTCGCCGACTCGGGCCATGACCGGGATCCTCACCGGCTCAACTCACACCTCAAGGTGAGGCCCGGGGCGGGCGATAACCACAGCCTCAGGCCCAAACCCCTCCCGCACCCCATCCCACCGCTCCCTCGCCGCTGCGTCTGCCCGGTAGGATCTGAGACCCGCACCCACCCCCGTCCCACCTGCTGCCGGGCCGCCTGCGTACCCAGTAATTCTTAGCCAAAGTACCGTGGGGCACCCTAGCCACGTCCTTCCTTCTCGTTTCCCCAGCCCCCAGAGCTCCTGGTTCCTGGGGTGACAGGTTGGGTGACGATTCGGGGTCCCTGCATCCTGTCTCCGCAGGTGGGCTTTGAGGATGTAATCGCAGAGCCCATGACTACGCACTCCTGTGACAAAGTGTGGATCTGCAGCCATGCCCTCTTTGAAATCAGCAAGTACGTGATGTACAAGTTCCTGACGGTGTTCCTGGCCATCCCCCTGGCATTCGCTGCGGGAATTCTCTTTGCCACCCTCAGCTGCCTGCACATCTGGTGAGAAGGGGAACATAGGCGGGACAGGCTTTCTGAAACTAGGAACGCTCTTGGCCACCTGGCCCCTGCCCTCCTCTTCTCCCAGGCCTGTTGCAGGGGGAAGGACACACATGAGTTCCTTAGCAGTAGCAAAAATTGGAAGGCCTTGAAAGGCAGTGTGCTTTTTTTGGATTACCAGTTTGGGCTGGGAGTTTAAACAGAAAAAAGAATGTCCAACTTTCCTGGGGTGATTTTCCTTCACATCCATAAGGCTGAGCTGAGTGTGGAGGTGGGGACCTACAAGCTATGCTTCCTGCCACAGGCCCTCTCACAGGGCGCTGTCATGACTTGTGCCTGTGGTTCTGGGCGGGACTCTTCTTTCTTTCATTACCTTTTGTCCCGTCTACCTGTGCTTGGGGTAAAATAGAAGTGATTTCTGAGCAGAATGCCACTGCCCATAGAATTGCACAGGGATGTCAGACCGGGTTAAAGGGTGCTGGGGAGGAAATACTCCAGCCCTGTTGCAGACAAATAGCAAGGCTGGAACCAGAGGAGGTGTGTGCAATCACATGAGTGTCCCCCAGCACAAATGAATGAAAAATCAAGCTTCAGGATGATGAATGAGAAGGCCTCCAAATTACTCTTTCACTGGTGCAGCACAAATGGGAATGGTATCTGGTTAAAGGGAAAAGAAATATGGAAACCCACTGGCCATTGAAAGGATGTTTTGAGTAAATTTATTTACACTCAAAATGCATCGTAAAACTTTGGAGAACATTTTTAAGCATTTAAAAATTTCAAAGAAAAACGTCATATTTCAGTAAGTTTTGTCATTGTTGTGTTAAACCCTATCCACTTTAAGAGGAAGAATGTTCATATCATCCTCAGTATCACAATAGTCAAGCTAGTTGCTCACGGTAGTCCTGATGAAAGGTATTATCCCAGGTGCCTCCGTGTCTTTCTTAACCACTTTATATGATATTGCCACACTCCAGTGCATGCTCACTTACAACAATGAACACGTTGGGAAGTTATCAAATTATTCATCATCCTTCTTTATCAACTGAATCTTAATTTCTCTAGTCTGTTAGCTATCTAGTTAGTTCAACACACACAACATTTATTGAGTGCTTAGATTGTGTTGGGCACTGGGCCAACGATGGATGGAACCTAGGATCTACCTTCAGCTTACTCACAGCGTACCAGGGCAGCTGGCTGGGTACAGAGATGGATGCTGAGAAAATGTAGTTAACTCTGATGAAGTAGAGGGAGGAACAGGGAAGGCTTTGTAGAGGGAAAGATGTCTAAAAAAGCTTTTAAAAGATAAATAAAAATTCACCAAATAAGTAAAGGATAAACAACACAGATCTAATTTCATCACTAAAGGTTGCAAACAGTTAAACTATGTTGAACGTGCCAACAGATTGCCAGAGAAATGAAAATATTTGTCTTTTTATGTGATCAGATTCACAAAGGCCAGATGTATAGTTATCTCATATTCTAACATGTACACATGGATTTTTGTTTTAAAGATGCCTAAGTTAGCACATAAATTTTAGGATTCCTAATTAACTAAAACCAGTCGTCTAACCTCTATGTCAATTTTGTCACTTTCAAAAACGTGAAAAACTGAATGACCACATAGCGTGTTATGAAATACTGGCTATGAAGCTATTTGGAAATATAAAGTGCCATATTTATAGACAAAAAAAAAAAAAAAAAGCTAGGCTTTCCCAAAGCTTTTGTGGGAAAAGAATTTGAAAAAAATAAGTTTTTCATCTACTAAATGGTGGAAAGATATAAGTAAAACTACAATTAACCAAACGTTGCCTCTCTCCAACTGGCACTTCTGAGAACAGGAGTTACTGTTTTTTGTTTGTTTGGGTTTTTTTGTTTTGTTTTTTTGTCTTGCTTCAATTGGTGAATCATCAACCCACTTCTTTTTTAGCCACATAAAATGTATCATTTAACTTCAGCTTGTTTTCCAAATTACATTTATGTGGAACATTAATATTTAACTGTCAGACACTTGTCATTAGGCAGCTGTGATTTCAAGTAGAGGAGGAGTTTCAAACAAGAATCCTAAAAAGTTAGTTTATGCCTTGATAAAATAAGTTTATCATTAATAGATTACATTCCCATGACACAATAAAACCAGAGCAAGGAGAAACCATACAGAAGAGCAAACCAATATGAGTAAGCTTTTTATTTTTTTTGCTTTCTTTTTTTTTTTTTTAAGCAGGGGGTTGTTTATTATTTTACCAAGAAGTTGGTGGTGACCAAAGTTATGAATATGTGCAGTAATGGAACTTCGAACCAAGTCACAATATCATAACAGATCTGATTTTACATTCTTTAAACAAATAACAACAACACAACAACAGCAAAACACAGGAGTTTGGTGATGTTAGACCCTAGACCGGAAGTACAGGTCATTAGGGACCAGTGAACTGGTTTGATTCCATACCACCATCAGACAGAGATAGCCGTTGTTTGACAAATACAATTTATTGGTCATAAGTGGATCATTATGAAAGAAATGTGACTGGAGCACCCATACCCATTATTTTTGCTGGAATGCAAAGCAAATAGACGTCCAACTGATGGAAATGCAATAGTAGCAATCTCATTTCTAGATGTCTTTAATACAGCAAATTGCCATGACAACGCAATCCACATTTCACTATAGTTAATACAAAGCTAAATAAAAGCCTCTGTCCTAGGACTTTATTATCCAATGGAGGAATATATAATCTTATAGATTATAAAATTTACTTAAGAAGTATTTGGTTGGCCACATTGAGCCTCAACCAAATTTTGGGTCATTCCAAATTGCCTGGAGTTTCAGAAAGGAAACTATTTGTGATGTTCAGATCCCAACTTAAGTTTGATATCAGAGAATCATTGGATTCTCTGCTCCAAAATGAGAGAACAACAACTAAAGAAAATAAAATTAGAATGAGTTCACCACACTCTATGAACTGAAGCGCTCAGATGTGGGTTGCTGCACTTTGTTAAACTGGAAGATCCACTTTTGTCACATGCTTAATTCCCTATTAGGATGTGGAGATCTAAGGAGTTATGGGGATAAAAAATTTCTTAGCCTAAGGAAGAGTAGAAAGTGCATTATATTCTAAGTGAAGTGATTTGGTTAGGAAACTTTCTGATCTACAACTTCAGCCATGGTGTAGGCCAATTAGGAGTTATTTTGTTATAATTGTTTTCATTATATATTCTGAATTCAAAATAGGTCTATTTATTACATACTATAATGACAGCATCATATGGACATTTCAGGGGTGCATAAGAAATGTCAGTCCTGATAGCCAGTTGTGTAAGCTTTCTCGTTCTCACCTTAATATGTAATGATATGCCTAAGGCCCCAGGTCAAGTGAGAAGTATAAGAAGTCAAAAGGTGCCATCATTCAAGTTTCTATTCAGCTGTTTTGCTCTGAAACACCCAATAATTAATTTTCTTATAAAAGTACTTCATGTATTTAGCACTTGGAACAAAATATAGGATAAATATAATCTGCATAGATGGTCAATATGAATAATTTTGTATTATAAAAATATATCAGTCAATCAGACAGTTGCCTGATCTTTTCTTCACTTTGGGCTAAGTACAGCAGACCTTTAAGTAAGTCACATTTTAATAGCAAACCAAGAAAATCTACTCCCTTGAGCCCTCCCAGGTGATAATAAAGATTCCACTGAGACCACCAGCAGTGCCTGAGAATTGACAGCTACATTTGGGTTCAAAAAGCACTACTACAACAGAGAACATTATTTAGAGGATTACATAGAAAATTAATCATCCTGAGGAATATAAGAATATGTAGTTTTCTTAATAAAAAGCATATAAAATATTTCAAGATAGACTAGTTATTCTTGTCTAAGAGTTCTAACATCAATTCCAGGGCTCTTTTAACTACACCACATGGCCCTTTTCAGCGCATATAATTATTATGAAAAATTCATAATATAAAGCAGAATTAATAATACAAAGCATAAGAGACTGATACATTTATTTATGCCCAAAGCTTTACTAAGGGTCAAGTGTGTCAGCACTTTAAAAACTTACATTCTAGTAGGAAAGGCAGGAATATAAGCATCTATTTATGATACATTTTGATACATTTGAGGATTAAGAAGTTTATTACTGTATTTTAGAAGCACAAAGATGGTATATACAACCCAGCCTGGTCCAAGGGAAAGGGAAGTAGAATGAGGCAACAGGAAAGGCTATCAGGAAGTAGAATCAGGGAAATATGAAGAGTTAGGCAGGTTAATGTTTAGGGGTAGAGATCAGGTAGATAAATATACAGTTTCATTTATTTTTGTTTTACTGTTTCAGACAGCATGCCACCAGTAGAAAGAATATCAGTATTTATCATCTACATGACTATTTATTTTACAAGCAACATATCTTTTGTGCATTTTACCACTATAAATTAAACAAGTACAATTATTATACCTTTTCATTCATATACAAGAGTCAGTGACCTTATTTGGTAACAATAATAATCCTTACACATCTCTGTTCCTCCATTCCAGGATTATAATGCCTTTTGTAAAGACCTGCCTAATGGTTCTGCCTTCAGTGCAGACAATATGGAAGAGTGTGACAGATGTTATCATTGCCCCATTGTGTACAAGCGTGGGACGAAGCTTCTCTTCTATCAGCCTGCAGCTGAGCCACGACTGAACACTTGGACCCCAGGTCTGGAGATTTGGATACTGTAATACTTCTTTGTTATTGTAACATAAAAGCACTACTGTTCATTTCCCAACTGTTCTAATTAAGAAAACTATGAAGATGGGCAACCACATTTAGAAATGTTTATTGGCAGCCCTTTTCAAATAATGCTTTTCTAATTAATAGCCAAGGATTTCATAGCTAACTTTGTAACCTGAATTATACAGTAGGTTGAAAACACTTAATTTGAAAGGCAGACAATTTTTTGCTTTTGTAAAAAAGCATACTTTTTTTAATGATGAATCTATGGTGATCAAGGGTCATTTCTCTCAAAACACTACAATAGTTTTGTACACTGTTTGCTCATAAAAATATGGTATTTCTTATTTTTTGTAAGCCTGGGAGTGATACTTTTTAAATTACCTTTACAGATATCATCATAAGGATACTTAGAGATGGGATATACGAAGATCCTAGAAATTTCAGTAACAAAAGCACACAGTGATTATAGTAACTATCAAATATAATAAAACAAATAAATGTGAAAATAAGATTCATGAAAATGTGTTCTTTTAAGGTATTGTTAACCTATAAGCCTATTTAACAAGATGTTTCATTTTACTGTATATTTTGTACTTAATGTAAATGTTGCTCTAATCAGATTGCTTTAAAGCATTTTTATTATATTTGTTATCTTGTTGAACTAATATATAGAATGAGTAAATGTAGCTCTCACAAGGTAACTTCATTGGTAAGATTGCACTGTCTTGATTATGAAAGCACTTATATATCTTCTTTGGGAATAAAATATAAAAGAGTAATTCACAAAGCTTTCCTTTCTAACTTTTCCAAGCAAAATCTGAAATGTTTTATGACTGCTATTTATCCGGCTGTGATCTTAAAATAATTCATGCCTGATTGGTATTTCATCTAGGAGATGCTGTCTCTCTTGTACTTAGAAATTAAACCTGTGTTCTGCGTTCCTATTAATGTTTCATTTTACTTTCAAGTAATATTGGTGCTATTCAATAACATTGTACAATAAAGGCTATTTCTCAGACACCTAAATACAATTTCAATTACAGTGATCCACGCAGAGAGACTCACAGGAGAGTTATCAACTTGTTGGGTCTATGCTACTGAGCTACATGCATACGTTAAAAACTAGCAGCTACTTTAAGATGTTCTCTAACATGGATTTTGTAACATAGGATAAAGATATTCTTATCATTTTGAACCGTAGAATCCTACTTCAGTGTTATGAGTCACTGTTGCTTTAAAAAATCTCATTATTTCAAAATGATAGGCACATATAAAAAAAGTCTATGATGTGAGTAGTTATTATAATTTACACACTTTACAAGTGTATAAATGCTCAAATTTCAGAATTACCATCAGAACCTAAATTAATATTCCTTTGAATATCCTTATAAGTGTCAAATCTTCATTCAGTGAAGATGAATAAGTTTTTCAAAATTACCAGGACTGGTAAATATAAAGGATAATTAAACTGGAATACTATTGGGGACCAAATCAAGTCAATGTTTAAATTATTAAGCTCGAATTCTTTTGAAGGTAGTTACGAAAGAAACAGTTTCAAAACTGCCTTAGGCCATTGTAACATCTCTAGATGAAACTCATGATCGTTACCTTAAAGCATTAACACTCATTTGACCGTACAGACTTTATGATGTTAGTTAAAAAGGTCAATCGGTCTCATGACTTTATAGGTATACCTTGTATTTAAAATGTTTTTAAAAACATTTGTATATGTTGGTAAGCCAAAATCATTTTATGAATAAAATATCTATTTTAATAAATCATGAGCTTCTATCTTGTCAAGTAGCTATTGGCAAGTTATAAACCCAAAATATATAAACATAATTATATAACAAAACCTTTTAACTTCTAACAAGAGACACATGATTTTCTTATTTATGAACAATATCAATTATTTTCAAAATGTATTTTTATTGAGAATTTCCATTAACTATTTTTTTCCAAAGACAAATTTTGTATCAAGTGGATGCAGGTTTCATATGCAAATATGTTGGGTCTCTTATTTGGGGCAGGGGTAGGTAGGGGATAAGGAGACTTCCTCAGTATCCATAATAAACTTTCTAAAAACCCATAATGTGTTGATTGCTTTTATACATTAAATATGGAACTGATCAATAAGAACCTTTTCAAACTACTTTTTGCCTAAAAACTCAAAATTGATAATAAATACGTAAGTTATTGCTCATTCAGTAATGCATTTTTAAAAAATTATGAGATTTGGTAATTTAATTTTTTGTTTTCCTAGCACTTAAAGAGATTCCATATAAATTTTTCTGTCATTTGATGAATGGTATGAAATAGCCTGCTCACAAACCCACCATACTTCATCTTCTTTATAAGGTCTTTTCTTGCTGATCCTAAATAAACTGATATTTCTGTTTCTAATTTTTTAAATAAGAAAGTAATAACAATATAAATCACATGTGCTTGGATACCTGTACCATAAAGCCAGACTAGAGTCCAAAATTATTTTTGGAAAGTGAGTATGAAAAGAGTAGTTGCTGATATTGGCATAGATTTTCTTGTCAGTTCATCTGGGAAAGTGACCAACCTCTAATACTAAAGCAGGTATTTGGCTTTTTAAAATGTCCTTTATAGTTTCAAAGAATTTTTAAAGTCCCTCTTTTTTATAGTCATCCACGTCTCATTAATTTATTATTTGGCTGCCTTTCTTGGGAAGCCGTTGGCGTGTGGTGAAAAAAGCCTTGCCCTAGAAGTAGGGCGTTAGTTCCAGTCTTGGCACTGCCATTTCTGAGGTGTATCCCCTCCTGAATGAAAATGGTTTAATCTCTGGGTCTCAGTTTTCTTATCTTTAATGAAAGAATTGGACTAAATGGTCTCTCAGGAGCTTCCCATCTCATTGTTTTCTGTGGCTTCAGTAGGATGAAGACTTGGCTCTGTATATGAAAACCAATCTAGCTGTTCAAAAGCATCTCAAAATCAATGAATTTTCTATCCATACAGGGTTGGTGTGCTGTAAATACAATAATTAAATGCATGCACTCTTTACTCTTCCATTGACTGTGAGACTGTATATGTGGGCTTTGATTCTTCATGACAGGGATTCCTAGATTTTTAGGAATCCCTGTGCAGTGAAAAATTACCACAGCTAATGTAATTTATCACAAATCAGGATCTGGCATACTTCTTCTCTTAAGGTGTGTATGTGTGTAGGGAACACAGGGGAAGGAGTTGATGGAGGGGACAAAGGACAGGGGATACTAGATATTCAGGTTGTATGTTTTAGGAATAAAAATAAGATTGGCTTCCATAACCTAATAATCTCAATTTTTTCTCTCTGTTCACCCCTAAATAGCAACATGAGCAAAATAAGACACCTCCTTGTTGATTTTTAAGACATTTTTGTGCCTACTCTCCAACTTCATTCTTTCGATTATATCTAAAATGCTGCCATTGGAACCTTACATCTTGATGGTTTGTTAAGTGAAAAATGCACTTAAGTGGGGTAACGTACCAATCTATTAGCAGTCACCCATTCCTGTAGGTGAATGAATGATCTGAGAAAGAGGTATTAAAAACTACTCAAAGGAACAGAACATAGGGCCCTGAGTGCCATGTGAGAGTACCACACACTAATTAAAAGAGATGCCACCAAAGAGAAAGCTGGGACAGAAAAGGGAAAACACGAAGCTCCAATGGCATGATCTACACCCTCCACGGTTTTGCTTTTGGGCATCCTTGCCCTAAATCCCTAGTGAAGGGGGCAATGGAAGCTGAACAGAGGTGGAGGGAGCTGAAGTTGGCTAAAGACTTTTTTTTCTTTCCCCACAAAGGAAAGTTACTTTTGTCTTATTGAATGAATAGGATCCTGGGAGGGGGCATGAGGGCTCTGCTGGAAGTGTGTGCCCTAAAGACAGTGCGGAAGAGCAAAACTGAAACTGGAAACTACACTAACTTGTGGCATCTGTGTCTCTTTCACCTTGCCTCTCCGTGCTGTTGACTGTTGCGATGTGTCTGTGGCAAAGAAAGACTATGCAGCAGTCAGAGAAATCAGAGGACACCACTTCAACAATTATCCCAAAATAGGACAGGGACACCTATCTGCCTCACTGGGACACATTAGGTCACTGAGCTTGGCTCCAGGGCTGGAGAAGTGGTTTTGCCATTATAGGAAAAGGTAGGGGTGTAGAGTGATGAGAGAAAGGAAGAGACATGACTCAGAGTGGGAAACAGCTCAGAGCCAAGGGCAAATATTTCTCTCAGACATAAATGGATCAGGAAGACATAAGAGCAACAGGTCATCTTTGGAGCATTCTCTTCTTTCCTGTCTCCCAGCCACTTGTCACAGAGCACCGAGCAGTAACAAAGGAAAGAGAAGGCCAGTGAGCAGAACCTGCTTCTCCAACTGACTGGCACATGGGTTCCAGCCAACTGCTGTCTCAGCTAACTGGGACAGTGAAACAAGGAGTCATTTGGAAAGCTGCAGGCATGAGCACACCATATCCCAGGGAGGCAAGTGGCAAGGATTAACATGCTTATTTCACTGAGGAAGAAACTGGTTGGAATCGTCCATGCATTATAGAGCTGGGAGAATTCTGATCTCAGTACAAACAAAAAGAGGAGCATTGGCATTTGTTAAGCACTTATTATCTGCTGGGTGCTTAGTTAATCTGCACAGCAACCCTATGATGTGAAGGTTACTATTATTCCCATTTTTCAGATGATGAAACTGATGCCCTGAGGTTGAGGAATTTGCCCAAGATCACAGTGTAAGAGTTTGAGCCAAGAAAATCTGACACCAGAGTCCATACGCTTAATCACTATGAAGGTGATTTTCTACTTACCCCTAGGATGTGTCCATGGCTGTTCTAATGACTTGTTCTCCCTGCCAGCCAAAATCTTTTTCATGCTTCACTCAATCATGTCACCTTCCCTGCTCTGAGAAGCACCTGTTTTTCATTCCCCCATCAATGGAGTCAGTTCCAAGTCCTCAGAGGTAAGACTTGCCCTGAGCTAGCCTTTGGGCTCCATGCACCCTTCACACTCTGCCTCCTTCTAATCCCTGAGTCCCTCCCCCAACCCTAAACCTTGCTCTCCAGGGCACACCTCTCTTTCCTTTTAAGATCTTAGTTCTAGACCTTATGCTCCAGCTAATGTCGGAAAAATATTTTCCAGATACCATTATTTCCATCTTTTGTGAATTTTGTAAAATTTCACTACCTTCACACAGACTTCTCTAATACATATCAAAAGCCCAGTGATGATTTTTCTCCTTAATACTCAACATGTTTATGCATAGAATATTCTTAATTACAGTAATAATTTATGTTTGAGATAAGTATATATTTTTTCTAGAAGGAACGTATATTTTGTATTTTTCTTCATTTGGTTGGAAATGTCTTGTCAGTTTGTACATCCTTTAATATGTTATCCAATCTTATTGTTAGTTACTTTTATGTTGGAAATCCCAGGAGAAACCATATATAAATTTGTTCCCCTCCTATTGAATAATTTGCCTATGATAAATTTTCAAGGACAGAAAAACTGAAATGAAGTATACAATCGTATTAATGGCTCGGTTGTATATTGTCATACTGGTTTTCAATAGGTATGTACAATTTTAATTGCAAAAGCAATATATGTATGATAATTTCTGTATACATTATCAGAATTTGCATGTAAATATGTATATCAATACATATTTAACATATATATAATTTTTACTAAGGTATTAGGTGGTATGAAACAACATGATAGTATTCTGTTATGCACATATAA